CAAATAAAAGGATCTTTGAGACATTGGACATTACAACATACTGATTATTGAAGTCAATGTTGAAGAAAGAAAATGATCTAAAATCCAGGAAATCCACATCACACCTGTCTTCTGCCTCTCAAGTAATCAAAAGAGATACTTAGCCTATGATTTTGTACCCAACCTTACTGCCCTGTCTCACACAAATCTTGTTGAAAACGTCGTCTAAATAATGTTTTCTTTAATGAAATGATCCAAGTTCTAATTTTGTTGTCTCAAATCAGCAGTATTTATCTTGTTTTCTCAAATGTTTGTTGTTTCAGCATGTTATATGAATATATCAATTCATTGTTTGGACAATTTAGTGATGAGAGCATGTGGCTTCCCGGTGGAGCTCTCTATTGAGGTAGTCTTATTCTTGAAGACTAGGGGAACTAGTGGACAAACTTAAAATCCATGTTCTAATTGCCTATAAATAGAAATTTTGGCCTTTGAAAAATATATTTGGTGTTCCTATTGAAACAGATACAATAATCCCTTATTTGTTTACTTTTGCATACCTTAGTGTACATACTTTTGTTGTGTACACATTTCTTAAAAGGAGTATTCTATCAGAAAATTAAGGCATGGTCTTTTTAAAAAGTAGGATTGTCTAAGTGACAATAACATTTAGAAATTTTTAAATCCCTTGGAATATTCTTTTGAATATCATTATGCATTTCATTATGAGTTATAAAAATCCAAAATTCTAGAGAGATTTAATACGTTCAGGAGTTTAAATTTCTTTCATTGCATATAGTTACATTTGCATAAAAGTTAAGTAAAGCAATTTCAGTTCTGTTGAACAAAGGGAGAAAAAATCCATGGTGAATAACCTGTGATGATAGTCTTTTCTACAACTTTGACTTTATCTTTACTCCTCAGGAAAAGGAGCTTAACAGCTTTTTGTCATAACAGAAATCAAACACTAAGCACTTCTTTTCATATATAGCACATGATAAAGCAAGGCCCATAGAAGATTTAGCTGTAAGAAGACGGATATCCATTCACTTAGTGTTGTTTGGGTATATTATTCCATTTTGCTAAGATTAATCTCCCAAGCTGGGTAACCATTGTGCCAACTATTTATTTGATAAAATATGGTATAGTTTCTGAACCTGAATTTATTATTCTTCTTTTTATATCCTTATTACAGTCAACATATTAAATAATACAAATGTGTACATGAATATATATATATTCAACATTCTAGTGGGAATTATACATAAAAAATAGAAAAACATATTTGCCTTGGAAAGGAGACAAGATTTTAGGTGGTAAAACATGTTGAATGTTTATGTTGGAAGCGGTTCTAATAATAAATTTGTCCCTTCTATTCTCCAGTCTTTTTACCTCTACTGAGAGTTGTGTTTATGTCTCCTTGACAGACAACACAATGTAGGGGAATTAAGTGAAAGGAATCAAGCTCTTTCTGGTATCTAAATAATATCCTATTTTCTTAAACACACCAGAATACCACTAAAGAATATGTTACCATACTTTCCCACCAGTAAAACACCTGTGTCATCAATTAGAATCCCAGGAAAGAAAAAGGTACAATTGACTGCATTTTAGTATATTTTACAACGTGTTTCTAATCTGCCATTAAATGTGTGACCATGTGTTTTCATCTTCTAAAACAATTTAAACATTAATTTGTGCAGTAGCAATAGAAAAAAAAATAAGACAATTTCAACAGACTGTGTAAGTCTAATTACCAAAGCATTACAAATCTTGTGAAAATGCACACTGGTCTTATTTATGAAACAAAGGGCTCATATTCTCAGAGGGCTTATTACTTCTCCTCGGTCTCTATTTTTAGGAAAAAAAAAATCAGACTGGGTAAAATCGGTGTAATGGGTTTACTTTCACCCATGATCCTTTCTCTTCCTCATTGTAATCTTGACGAGTCTTTTAGAAACTTTTGATCCCAATTTCCTAATAAGCAAGAAGAAAGCCTTACACTTGATGTGTCTAAGAATAAACCAATTCAAAAATTACATTCCATAGGTTTTATTTTCATTAGATACTGTACCTTCTTTTACAATTTTCATGTCAATGTTTTCCTAAATATTTAATTATTTTAGGTTTTTTTCCCAAGTAGAATTTATGAAATAAAATTTAATCCTTTTTTTCCATGTGGAACAGTCAGAGAGAACATGGACACACACGAGACAGTAGACATGGGCATGGGAGAAAACAACAGTGATTCTTCAACCATAGATTTACTTGTCATCTCTTTCAAAAATTTTTCTTTCCTTTACAGAAATCTAATTTTATGCATGAAAGCATATCCTAACTTCAAGAGAGGATGATGGTATCATAATCTGATATACCCATGAATTTACAGTTTCCTCCACATTTCCTCACCTGCTAAGATAATCAGCATATGTTTTTCTCTACTTCCCAATCAGTTGATTAAAATATTGAACAGTATTTGACCTATATTAGGTAGCATTACATTCATTTGGGATCTTGTAATGTGATTTTGTATTATTATTGTTCATTTCAACAATTCATTGTCTTTTTTCACAGAATTTGCATCTATCTTAATTTGCATCTCACTATTTAAGTGAAATTAAAGTCTCTTTAATAAATGTCACATTGACTTGAAAATCCATATTCTTTAAATAGAAAACACTTTCCTCTATTGATGTCTAAACTTATTATTTTCCCCACCATTGTATACTACTTAAAAGGAACCCAACATGGGCAGAATTTAAATAGTTTTCATTATCACAAAGGAACCACTGCATGTAGGGCACCATCTAAATAGTCCATGAGTAGGTTGTGGAGGTGGAAAGAGAAGATATTGTGCAGGTGAGAAATGCCTAGTTGTGCAGTTGGGTAAACTCTTAGGAAAGTGGTGAGCTGTGGGTCAGCTGCAGGGCATGGCATATGATTCTGTCTTCCTAGTGGGGACTCTATAACAATCATGGACATAACTCAGGGAAGAGGCAGGTCTGAATATTTCTGAGAAACAAGAGTTTCCCTTATTAATCTGGCAAAGCCACGGCTGGCCCTCTAGAGGCTTAAAGTTTATTTGCTTCACTTCCAGAGTCTGAAGGTTTATAGACGCATATCCCTAGAGTTTTACTATCCTCGTCTTCTGCGTTACACATGATATATTAGACCTCAATGTATTCCTTGTACCACTTTGTCTGTAATGTTTCCAATTTTCTTAGGAAAGTTACACAGGGTTTTGGAAGCTTAGAAAATACAACTTCCCTTCCATGCTTTTGTCCATAGAGGAATAGCAAATTTATAAAATATGAAACATGTCATTTCTAAAATATTCCTAAGCTGCTTCCTGGTGTCTTTGACTGATGAGACAGTTCAACTGAAGCTGCAAACACTTGACATATTTTTATGCCAAACTTATAATAGAATGATATTTTTCTAAGAGTTAATGTATCTCAGCTGGTAGAATTGATTAGTATTCATAAGTATTTTCATTGGCACTGCTAACAAACATAATTAATATGCTTTCAACAGATGCCGCTTGTGATGCCAGTGAGTAAATAAGGACTTTCCTTTTTATTCTAGACAGACAGAATAAGTGCCAAAAAGTGCTTTTGTACCTTTGTGCCTTTGCTTGCCAAATAGATCAGTACTCATTTTTTAACTGTCTCCACACCAAATTTAACAAAATTTCAGTTAAAAAAAGTATTGTTGGGTTAGGGTGGAGTTCTTATTACGATGTGAAAAAATAATCATGCTGCACAGTTTAAAAATATACAAATTATTGACAGGTAGAAAAGTAAAATGCCTTGATGATAAGAAAAACATTGGTTTTAAAAAAAACCCTCAAATTTCTAGTTTCTTTACAAAGCCATCACTCTGTTTTTAAACACTCAATTCTTAGAGGTATTTATTGGTATTTACTGGCTTAGAACACTCAATGTACCCTCAGGTAGACAACAACAAAAAATAAATGTAGACACAAAAAGTAGTAGATTTCCATGGTGGTGTTTTCCAATGTATTTTTTTATTTGTGAGGTGCCCCACTTCTATCTGTAGCATAATCATAAACCCAATTTCTTACTGGCTTCCTCAATGCTACCCAATCCAATGTTCACGTTGGTGAATGATAGAGTAGTGGGCCCATGACCAAAGGTGGTCTAGGTCCAGTCATTTATGCAGATTCTAGACCCTTGTCCTGGTTTACAATCGAGAGGCACATATATAATTCAATCTGGAATAAAGAAATCCCCTCCCTACGATTGTCAGAGTTGGAACCCAAAACACTGAGCTACTCTGCATTAAGTGAAATTCTGAAGGTAAAGTTCTGGAGTTATCTAGAATTCTTGCCAAATGAATTTGAAAGAGAAAACCGATGCAGCCGATAGTGTCACCTGCAACTAAGAGTACTTATTAATACAACAAACTGCAAATATTGCTTGATAGGAGAGGCAAGGAAAAGCAAGTCCTAAAATATTTGATTCCAAGTTTCTGATAGTTTGTATAGTTTATTTAAATATCATACCACTGACTCATATCTATACTGTATTTTTTCTTTTTTTTTTTTTTCTCTTAAGCTTGGTGAAATTATGCTTCCATCACTTGCAACTAAATTAGCACTGAAAATGCAACAAACTGAAAATATTGCTGATAAATATCCTAAGCTACCAAAAGCTTTCCTAGAGTATATTTTTAAGAGTTTTTCAAAATCCTTAAACCCACCATTACCACTACTCATTCCTCAACACCCACACATACCAGAACATTTCATCTTTTGGATCATTTTTGCTTTTAATTGATTTGACGGAAGAGAGAAGGTGGAGTTAAATTGGACTAAGTCAATTCTGAAGTTTCTTAACCACTATTGAAAACAGATGATAGTTTTGAAAATACAGTATAGCTAAAGTAACCTGAGGTTCAACTATAACTCTACTGTAAGTTGTACAGTGTCTGAAATTTTTAAAACTAGTATCATTTAGTAACTCATTTGGTATTATTTATAAATATTTACTAACGATTTATTATGAGTCAAGCACTCTGTTATGTGCTTTTAGTATAGAAGTGAATTAAAAAATTTAAAAGTTCTTGTTAAATGGAACTTACATTTTAGCATAATCCAAACTTAAATGGACTTCAAACTAATTTTAATGTTTTAATTAGTACAATAAGGTTTGAATGAAACAGAAAATATAGTTAGTAAATGGCTTGAAATTTTATTTCTTTTAATCAGTAGTTTTGTGAATACTTTATCAGATGACATGGTAGATTTGAAAATACTTTCTAAAAGGTTTCAATCTATTGAGACTCAAAAATAATTTATAGATTATTTTCTATTAATTATTTAACATTAAAATGCTTCTATTAATTATAATGATTTTCTATGAATCATAGTAGAAAACTCAGATCAAACTAATATTATGACATCATCTTCTATAAAGAAAACAGGACTTTAGATTAGATGACTTCTAATAACATTATCATCTGTAAGGTAATATGAATATACACAATTAAGCATTTTAATTATTCTAGATAAAACATTTTTTGTAAAGTGAGTAGCATATAGTAAGTTGTGAAAAGTTAGCAGGTACTTATTTTTAATCTTATTTGTATTAATATTTTTTAAAATGAGAAATGTACTTTAAAAATGGCTTTATTGATAAAATTATCCTCCCTTTGACATATTCCTAATTGGTATTATAGCTAATATGTTAAACTTACCTTGGAAGCACACATACTTTTAATTATCTTTAAATGCGGAACCTTGAAAGAAAGAAAATGAAAATAAACCCCCCCTTTTTTTGTGTGCTGGAGTCTCACTTTGTCACCCAGGCTGGAGTGCAGGGGTGCAATCTCAGCTTGCTACAACCTCTGCCTCCTAGGTTCAAGCTATTCTTCCTCAGCCTCCCAAGTAGCTGGGATTCCAGATGTCCACCACCATGCCCAGCTAAGTTTTGTATTTTTAGCAAAGATGGGGTTTCACCATATTGGCCAGGCTGGTCTTGAACGCCTGACCTGAAGTGATCTGCCTCCATCAGCCTCCCAAGGTGTTGGGATTACAAGCATGAACCACCGTGCCTGGCCAAAAATTAAAAATAAACCTTTATTGAGCATGCACTTTTTAATAAGTACTGTTCTAGGCACTTTTACACATGTTTTCTCACAATAACCCATAGATAGGTTGTACATTGCCCCAGTTTTACACTAGAAACTAAATTTAGACCTGTCAAATTAAGTAATTTGAATCTGGGTGTCTAAGTCCATTCCCACTGCTAAAACAAAATATCACAGACTGAGTAATTTGTGTGTAACAGGAATTACTTCTCATAGTTCTGGAGGCTGGGAAGTTCAAGATCAAAACCAAGATTTGGTGTTTGGAGAAGGCTCACTCTGCTTTCAAAATGGTACCTTGTTGCTGTGTCTTCACAGGGCAGAGAGTGGAAAGGCAAAGGATGCTTCCTTCAACCTCTTATAAGGTCACTAATCCCATTCATGATACTGGAGCCCTCATAACTTAATCACCTACTAAAGGTCTCCTCTCTTAATACATCACATTGAAGTTTAAATTTCAACATGTGAATTTGTGGAGACACATTCAGGCCACAGAATAGAGTATTTGAACTTTTCTTTTTTGATCTCTAGGCTGTTTTTTAATCCTCAAAATACCATGGTTATACAAACATGATATTGTATGTGCAATAGACTGTTTGAAGAAGATTTAGATGTCCTGTGGTTTTATAAAATTTATTGGTCAGGGAAGAAAACCAATTATTTTTGATACTGTATTTTTGAAAGTAAGGTTAAAGTAGTTGCTTTTTAGTAGTTTTATTTTTCCAGAGCAGCAATGGAAGTTACCTGTATATAAGCTGGTTACCATACTCCCATTTGTATATTTATATATTATATTTTACACATTTTAAAAGAAGACATGACTGACTAAAGCACAATTAACTTGGAGAATAGGAGCCTCAGTAGCCATATTTGAGTATTGTCAAAAGATACAGTATCCTGTAGATCTTCTTTCTGATGTTTGAAATATCTATGATCACACGTATTGGTTAGTGCTTTCCAAACCTGGTTGATACTTACTATTCTAGAAAGATAATATTACCTTTCTTTTGTTCTTGGTTTCTAATTTGTTTGGTTCTAATAAACATGTCTACATCATGTTTCTAGAAAGTTTGATTTGGTTGCTCTAGACCATAGCTCACATATTGGAAAATAACTTCTGCTCATTAGGAACACATTGACTTGAATCAACTTGTCAAGTCAGTTTAATGACATCAACTGCTATGAGAGTTCCTGCCAGCATGTTTTAAATTGAGAACCAATAATCATGCTATGAAGCAACAATCTGTGTTGACTGATCATACATAAACAGAGATTAGTGTTATTATAAAATAAAACTTCAATGTATGCCTTCTGAGACATTTAATAGGTCCAAGGTAATCTTAATACTGCCTATTAAGAATAAATAGTAAATAGTACAGTATAAGTTTAGAAATGCTGTTTTATTCTCTGTAGTGTAGCCCTACTTCTTCTGAAAATATTCCATTTTGAATAGGAAAAGAATAAAACTAGGAAACTATTCAGAACTTCTGCTCTTCAGATTAACGTGAAATAACAGGGACTGGATTTACCTTCCAACATGATAGAACTAAAAAAACAGAGAAATTATATCAAACAACCATTGTCAATACATTGACTATAAAACAAGAACAATGATCTATGAGAGATATAAAACAAAAGATATAAGCTCTATGACTGTCCCAGCTTACTGCCTGGAAAAAATTTTCAGACCCTGGAGCAACTAGGGCGACTCTAGAGAGTGCTCTGAAGTCCCCTGGGACAAGTAGACAGAGCTGAGATAAAGGGGAGATCAAAGGGGCTAGAGTTCCCCGAGAATCAGAAAATAGAGTGCTACATACGGAGAGCATTTCAGAGATCATGAGTCCTAATTTCGTATTCCGCTGAGTGCTGATTAGCCAGCTCACGCATATGAAGAAACTACATGAGTTGGGAAAGAGAACCACTCAAAGTAATTAAAGTGGAAAAATTCCCAGAACTCATACAAATATGTAGAGATAAAAACTACATATTCTGCGATTAAAAAATTCACTTATAGAATTACCAAAACATTAATTATTGCCGAATAGAGTAGTCAACTTAAAGAGATGGGAATAAAATCTACTCAAAATGAAACATATTAAGAAAAATATGACTAAAAATATTGACACAGCAACAGTGAACTGTGGGACAACTTCAAGTAGCAATTGGAGTATACTCCAAGTACACTCATATTTGCAATCCATGAAAGAGAAGAAACATGTGTTTGAAAAATTAATGGACAAAAATGTTCCAACTTCATGAAAACTATAATCTCACCCATCTAAGAAATTCAATAAATTTTAATCACAAGAAACATGAAGAAAAGTACACAAAATCCTATCATAGTCAAAACATTCAAACTGTATAAACTAGTCATCCTGAAAAAAATCTTAAGAACAGCAAAGAAAATGCACCTTATATACACAGATAAAGATGACAGCTGATTTGTCATCAGAGAGAATAAAAGTCAGATTTGAATGATGCAATATCTGCAAGGTGCAGAAAGAAAAAAACATTATCAGGCAATACAAGAATTATTCACCTAATATCACCTAATAATAATAGCTTTCAAAATGAAGGTAAAAGAAACACTAATCAGACAGAAAATCAAATTGATAACTATCAGATCTGTACTACAAGAAACATTAAACGAAGACCTTCCAGCATAAGAAAAATGGTATCAGAAAAAATCTGAATCTATACACAGAAAACAAGAGCACTAGAATTGATAACTACATGAATAAATATATAAGCTTTTTTCCCTAGTATTTGAGATATTTAAAAGATAATTGGCTGTTTAGATGGAAATAAAAACATTATATAGGGCTTATCACATATTCTCAAGCAAGATGCAAAAGCACAAAGGTCAAGAGGAGAAAATTGAACTATACTGTTGTGAGATATATTATGCCTACCATGGAGCACAGACAGTGATAAACTAAAGATCAATAATATACATACTGAAGTCTGTGTCAATATAACCATTAATATAATACAATGAAGTATTACAACTAATAGACCGGAAACAGAAGAAAAATGGATTCATAATAATAGAAAAGAAATAGAAAAAAAGATAAAAAGAACAAATATAGATTGAACAAATTGAAATCAAATAGCAAAATGACAGACAAAATCAATTATACAAAATAACATTAAATATAGGTGGTATAGGCACACAAATTAAAAGGCAGAGTGTCAATGTGTAACAAAGAAAATCCTAACTGTATGCTCCCTTCTAGAAATATCCACTTAAAAATAAAGACAAATAACTTGAAAGTGGAAGAATTCCCTGGAAAAGATATTTTATGTTAGCACTAATCAAAAGGAAGCTAGAGTGGCTCTATTAAAATTAGACAAATTAGGTTTCAAAATGAAGAAATTATCAGAGATAAAAAAGCTCATTTTACAATAATAAAAGGGGTCAATTCACCTAGAGGGCATAATTTAAATTTTAACACACATGAGAGAAGTCCAACATATTTAAAGCTAAAAATCGTATAACTGCAATAAGAAACAGACAAATCCATAATATTGGTTGGAGGTTTTATCATCCTGGTCTCAATAACTGAAAGAACAGGT